TTGGAAATTGCAGTTACAGCCATGTAAAATAATATATAAATATTTTCAACTGCATAGTTTTTTGTTTTTGGTTGCTTTCTCTCTGTCCACCTGCTGTGCTGGCAGATGAGCTGAAGTTCCTGATTCTCCTCATCGATGCAGCCTGATTAATCTGCCCTCTATTTTTGTACATAATGCAATCGAAATTAACATGTACTCTCTGACAGCCCTAAAATAATTAAAAATACTGCTGGGGAAGTCAACATGAATGTATTCATAACTATATCATGAGTGTATTTGAGTTCATGGTCGCCTCTATCTTGCCAGGAACCACAGAGCCACAGAACACTAACGGTGCCTTTTGGTCTGACGCCGGTCACGTTGGGGGGATGATCCCCTGAATTCTTTCAAAACCTTCCCTGTAAGAACTACAGTTCCCTTGTAGATATTTGATGCAGGTGCATTGTTTTTTAACGACAAAGTCCAGTGTGTGATATTTATGTTTTATTAACAGAAATGTAATCAGTAAACCATAGATAAACTATGATTGTTCAGTGCCGGTATATAGGCTCACCCTGTATGAAACGAGTCGTTACGTTGCTTGGCTGATTACTTTTAGGAATTGTCACCTTTTATGTACATCATACTGGTCCTACCTACACGGAGGCGGGACTCTTTCTGCTGCACAGTACTGCCCCGATTCTTGCCAAGCGAAGAAGAAGGCGGATGTGACGTAGTTTTAGACGGAGGAAGCCGGGCTTTAATCTAGTTGCGTAACGTTGTTGTGTTTTGCTTAGTTTGAGAAGTTATATTATCTCCTTGTGCTGTTCTTTTTGTCAGACGCAGAGTGAACAAGCGAACTGTCAGTCAGATTTGCCAGTGGGAGATCCTTCTGCATTGAGCGAAAATCCTCAAGCTCACATCCATCCAGAGTAAGACATCGTCTTGGAGGTTTGTCGCGTCATGGCAGGAGCTGGCCAACCTACCACAGACCTTTTGCGACTTATTTATGCCCTTGCGCACTTAGATCACCCTGAAGTTGCAGTGAAAAACACCTTCCAGTTCATTCAGCAGGTAAAGTCTCAACCTGGGGCAGACGGTGAGCTTGCACCAAAAAATCCAAACGCTGAAATCAACTCTCTGTCTAAAACAGTGTTCTGAAATGCTACCACTGTTCCAAATATCAGGCTTGGTTCTGTTTGCACGTCTAACAATACCATGTTACTGTTGTTTGCCACGTTAGTTGATAGTTTTAAAGGTGATTTCCAC